AAAAAAAAAAAAAAAAAAAGAACAACAACAAAGAGATTAAGAAGAATGAAGGAACAGTGGTGGCAGAGTAACGGGTTCAGAAATTAACAGATAGCAAGAGCTAAGACAAAGTTATTGAGTCAAGAAAACATCACCACTGACGAATACCAGCTAAATATGAGAAAATGTATTGGTAAATTTTCAGAAATAAATAAATAAATAAAGACTTTTCATTAGCATTCCACAAACTAAAAAGGAACAGCAGTTGCCAAACATTTTCTTGACTTCAACCAGCTGAAACTTTTGAGCTCCTAAGGGATGTCTCCTCCCTTTCTTTTCCAGGTTCTATTCCTAAATATACAATATCAAGAAAATTTTCAAATTGTATTTACATTATCTAGATTACATATTTATATTCAAATGCCTCATGCATGCTTCAGTTTTTACATACTGGTTGCTGTTGCAATTTTCATTTCTTGCTTTGAAATACTATATAAATTCCTTTACTGAATAGTCACTAGGTAAGTAAAACTCACTAATTCATTATATACCAGGTTCTTCCCCAAACAGTGCTTTTAAATCATTCATCTTAAAAAGCATCACAAAATTCTTAACAGTATCTAGTTCTTTGAAAGAAAAGTACAAACAATAGATTATTACAAGTTATATTCAGAGACTACTCCACAGGAAATTCATGTGATATTTTCCATTAAATGTCAATGAGGGGAGAAAAATATATCTCAGAAAAACAATATTATGAAGGATATCTGGCAAACAATTAATTTCTTGATGTTGTTTTCATATTTTTATGACTATATATATCTATACTTGCTGAAACTAATGTTTTATACTTTAAAAAGAGTGTGCCGTATTACAGATGGAGATGTCTTTATTATAGCACACTTGTAATGCATGTATTCACACTCTTCAAGTACTGCAGGTGTTTTTTGTAATGTAGTGAATGGTTTGCCTTCTCCATTGAACAGAAAATGAAATGAAAAAGGCTGGAGGGCTGGACTGGATTTTCTCAAAGGTCCATTCTGACCTTGGCTGTTCCATGATTCTGTAAGCATTAAATGTTTCACAACTCAGCAATAGTAATAAAACAAACAAATAAACCACAACAAAAAGTGGCTTTCAGTAACAAGTAATACAGAAGAAGGAACATACATTACTTTACTGTTCTTTGACTGAATTGATTTAGAAGAGGTAAAAAGTGATGTAAGAGATATCTGAGAATTAAACCGGAAATTAACACAATGGAAGATGTGTCTTTTTTTATTTTCTTTAGCTTCCATTTACTAAAGAAGAAATTGACAACTATCTAAAAAGGCTAAATAAATGTTAAATAAATGTCTATTTTATTGATACTTATATTTTAGATGCTGAGCCTATTGCACTTAGCGTACATCTGCCCATCCAAAAGAAGCTTACTTCTTACAAAGCCCTGCAAGGCCATGTCCTGGTTTCAGCTGGTAGGTAGAGAGTTGGTATTTTTCTTCATAGTATCTGGTATGATGCTCTATTTTGGCTCATACAGTCTTGTCAGAGAGAGAGGGTGGGAGGCACAAGGAGCTGGAAGCGGGGAGAACCTGGATAGCTGACCTAAGTTGGCCACAGATACCATATGACTTCATTTGATAAAAAATAAAAAACTTATGGGAGTTGAGTGGGGCAGGGATAGGAGGAATGTCCACTGCTCAGAGACTGGTTGATCATTGCTTAGCAGGTGGTGAACTTGTGCATCATTTGCTTTCTAAATATGTTATTATCATTACTATTATTATTTTATTTTTCTCTTCCTTTTCTATCTTAGTAAATAATTTATCAACCCATGAGTTCTACACTGTTTTTCTCCTATTTCTCTCAGTCCACTGGGAGAGGAGTGTGAGAGAGTGACTCTGTGATGCTTAGCTACCTGCTGAGTTAAACGACAACAGAATGTTCTGGATATATTAGAGTATCTTCAGTGGCATTTGGCACTTCTGTATAGACAACTGAATCCTGTCCTGCATTAATGTTATTTATTGCAGCTCCTGCTATATTGGACATAGAGACATTAGTAAAAAATGAAGAAGGAAATGGAGTACTCAGATGTAGATATAGTTTCAGCATTAAGTTTGTCTGATGTTAAAGGGTAGGATGAAGAACTTCCACATTGGCATTAAAATCAGATTCCAGTGTTTTCAAACATTTCTGAGAATACAGAACTCCATGAAGGAGTTTCCTTCTGACATACAAAAAGAGTCACTGCAGCTGTATTTACACAGCTAAATACACATCCCAAAAGGAGATTGAGACAAGGTGGTGCTGGATGGCCTATGTCTACCACGCTCTGTAATAGCAATACACAGAAGAAACTGCTGAGCAAACTTCCACTACACTCTGCAGTGTCCTGCATCACTTCTCAGCTGTACGAAGTGGTCATCTTGGCTCAAAGATCCAGTTACTATTTTGTTTGTTTTAGCTCAAAGTACCTGGGAGAGGGGAGAGAGGAGGGAGAAGGGGAGAAAAAAAAAGAGGACTGTGCTGCAACAGGTGGTGTTTTTATAAAACAAATCTGACAGAGTATATTACAGTATCTGGGATATGATATCCAGGCATGGAAAAGTGGTTTGAAAATGAAAAGGCTGTTGTTGAAGGACTTCGTAATGCAGAGGAGTCCAAACCTTTGCCTGTCTGGTTTGCACTGACTTCTGGAAGCAGTCCTTGGAAAGAATTATCCGTAGAACTTAAAGCTTATTTTGGAGAGATAGAGATGTTTTTTCTTAACACTAAACCGTGCATGAACTAGCATTTATACTATGTAGACAGTGGAACTGAAATCAGGAGACGACTCACAAACTAATTTATTTGGTAGTGTAGACACAACCAGTGAAATGACTAAAATTCAGAGAATTGCTTAGCATTACAGGAAGGTTCTGTACTTGCATAGAAATTCTATCAGCAATTTCTTACTATCCTCATACATTTCAC